CGTACTCGCCACTAAAACTGCCTTCTACCCGCCTATCACGCGCTCAAAGTGGTCTCTCCATCAATAATGTCTCCCCCAGGACTCGGCCTAACAACCTGGACGTAGTGAGGAGTTTGCGCGGGAGCACAAGTCATCTTGGTCTGTCCTATGAATTTGGCAGGTGGGGATCGCAGTCAAGTTTGCTGGGTGTGGATGCAAGCCGTACGTCCGAGAGCGCCATTTTCAATGTTATACTTCAGCGTGCAGGCAATGAAAGTTTTGGCATCAACCTGGTAGAGGGTCATGTAAGTCTCGCCGCCAGCTTCCTCCCTAACCATGAGATTAATATCACGAAAAACGCACGATTTATTCTTTACATTCCTTATATAGGTTGCCGGATAAGAAAGTTTACTGAAAAAGTATCCTATTAGCGACTAATACAGAAGCTAACCTCAGATAAATTTCTGAACCGTGGCATAGAAGGTCTTCACTAAGAACACTAACAAACATTAACGAAGAGCGTATTTAAAAACATCATGTTTCTAGTCATTTGAAAAATATTTTTTTCATCGGCTTGGAGAACTAGTCCGAAGTTACGCAGGTTTATAATGAAAATTTTAAAAAAACTATAAATCTTTTGGGGTTCGTTTGCATGCGTAAACGTTTTTTCGCATTCGCTTACCTCAAAAATAGACATTTTCGTTTGAAAATTATCGTAGCCTAGACACATCTTAAGACATTTTCTTCGGTCCGGGCCAATCTAAAAATCACATGTAGACGTTGTTCCAGACATAATCATCATATGCATCCTAATTAATAAAACGCCTACATATATCCCAGGGATTAAGGTGTCTTTTTAATGGAGAATAAACCTTTTGACCGCAGCTTGGTAGGCCTCTGAAATTTTATTCTCGCAGCAGACGAAAGGCTGTTTCGGGAGCTGACCTTTAGTATAGATTACCCATGCAATGCAGAGTTGTGCCAAGGTTGCCGGTTGACTGGCTATTTTTTATCCTAATAAACCTACATCTTGAGTCGCTAACTTAAATTTGCACTAAAGGATTTTGCTGTTTAAGAGAACTGACCAAACGTTTGTAGGCATCATAGCGATTTCAAAAATTTTTTAGTCTTTTTTTAAGTTACATTTCTCATGATGCCCCCTTTGAAGGACCTTCACACAATGAATTGACTTCCTCGAGCACTGCTTGGAGCGCTCCTTATTTATTTCATCTAATGACCGTTTGCCGACGTTACTTGGGATGATACCGTGAAAAAAGTTGGATCATGTCCGTTAAGGCTTAAGTTGAAGTGAGTACGCCATCGTTAAACATGTCGATTTGGTAACCGCATCATTCGTAAGTCGGCATCTTCCATATGCACAGCATTACTCATAAAAAGGGGTTAAATGCCAAAAAATCAACAAAGTAAGACTAGCTAATGCAACAAACGCGTTAGTTGCCATCGCCGTCCATCTTTTCCAGGCATGCTATTAGATCAGAATAAGGGACAAACTGGTTCATGAAGTGGGTTTTATTCGAGCCTCAATCTTTCAGACAGAAATTTTGGTCGTATGCCCTGAGAGGCTGGTGCAACCCAAAGCACAGACTGGCTATAATGGTCCCATCACGGCACCAAATCCGGCTCGTTGATAACCCATGTAAAGGCGAACCGTGGGCTACTCATGGATGCCAGGAGGTGGGTCGTTCACCACTGAGAAAAAAAGTCGGCAGAACAACCAGGTACACGTCTTACCTGAAGCATAGTGTGATACACAATCGTGGGTATCGCACGCAGTTACTGTTTGTCACGAGAGCAAAATTCCTTCACGACGTTACTGTACACTCTCGGTGTTTTCTGCAAAAGACACTTGTAAGAGACGACACTTTAAATATG